CTCCTGACCTTGGTGATTAGAGGAGAAAATCATGGGCTTGGAAACTGAGGTGATTGAAGATTTGGACAACCTGAACACCACATGCTCTTTCACCATCTTCTAACGAGAGACGTGAGCAGTTCAAGGAACTCCAAGGGGTTGCCGCGTCTGTCTCCTACTGATTTTTTCCCTTTTTTACCTGACAAAACAGCAAATGCCGATCGCCATCCAACCAGCAGGACAAAGGTGGTTCCCAGGGTTACGATTACAAATGCCTTCGGTGGGACATGCCCATTGGATAAACCCCTGATGACAATTCCCAGTGGCACACCAACTGCCCAGCATTTTGCTGCCGCGCCCGCGGCAGGGAAAGCGCCCTTCAGCCCCCGCGGCCCTGCACCATAGCCACCTAACAGTGGGGCGGAAAGGAGCCAACCTGCGACGAAAGGAGCCGCCACTTGCACAAAATCAAAGCTGGCAACAGCTGAACCATGGCTAACTTTACCAATGAAAGCAAAGAGGAGAAGAGAGGCCACATCACCGGCACAAAGCAATGCGATGCGTTGCCATTTCCCTTCCTCATCGCCTCGATCAACCTTCGCAACACCCTCAACTGTTACTCCTTTCTCTTCAACTCCTCGAGTTGGTAACACCTCTTGTGCAGGTGTGGCCACCCGTCGCCTCACAACCTTGCGCACGGGTGGGCGGCTGGACTCCAGTTCTGACGCCGCAGCGGCCGTCTCTGCTGCGCTGGAACTCTTTGTCACTGTCGAGGTCGATGCTTCTGCAGACGATGACCCCCCCGTATTCGCGGTCCCTGCAGCGCCCCCAGCTTCCGGGGCTCCGGCTCCCCCTTCCCCGCCGCTACCTTCCATCGCAGATCTTGCCATGACTGTTCGCCGCACGGTGAAATGCAACGGCCGTGTCGACCACCTGACCTCCACTCGCCCTGCTGCTCCTGGATCAGCTGCACTCAAGCCGCCGTTGCAGAACCGGCAAGGCCCTAGCCATGGCTGTCTTTGAGCGGCTGCCAACACCGAACCAGCACAAGCAACACTTGGCTGAGCTGCTTGCCGTTGGGCACGGGCAGCACCAGGGGAAACGCCAGCGGGGTGTGATGCTAGAGCTGAAAGTAGTAATGATTTTGTCTCATGGGAAGAAACCACTCGTGCTGCCACGGTGGTTGTCGCCATCGCCTCACCACCAGTCCTCTTCCTGCCTTGCTTACTCGTTATAGCACAATCGCACGCAGGACCCACGAGACCCCCGAGCCCCTGGCACAACAATTCTTCCTGAAGAACGTATCTGCTCTTTGCTTGACAGAGAAACCTAGAGAGAGTGTGCACTCTGTGACGGCCTCCCTCTGCAAAAAGACCGTCTCCGCTGAATTCGCCAGCAGAATTGGTTTACAAATCTTACAGTGTTACAGCAGCCTTCTGCGACAAATGGCCACCGCCACTGGATGGCTATTCTTCATCACCAATCACAAAATCATATTTATGTTTAATGTAATACATCTCCACAAATGGATGGGCCATATCCATTGCACAAATGCCCCACAGACAGACAGCGTCAGAACGAGCGGTTCACACCATGTCTCTGGTTAGTATCTGATGGGTGTTCTTTCTTTTCTTTTCTTTTTTGTTAGTATCGGATGCAAGGGACACTGGACCAGTTTTATTAATAAATTAATAATAAAGAAAAAGGGAGTTTTTTTGAAAAAAAAGAAATTACCAGGTTGTAGGTCAAGGCAAGAAGGTCATGTAAAAGAGACGATAGTGCAACAGCATGTGTGTGACAGAGGGAGGAAAAGGGGCGGTGATCATCAGATGCAGCAGCATAATCAGATTCCGACACAGAAAAAAGAGGGGACTTGCATGAAAAACAAATCAAACAATACAGACTTATCAAGTTATCAACATGATTCGTATGTAAGGACTGGTTCATCAAGGAGCTTCTCTTTCTGTTTAGGGTTTAGGGTTTTGTCCACTTTGTTTGATTTTCTTTTTTCCCCCTCTTATATATCGTCAAACAGAGCTGCCGACATATATATATATATATGAATAGTTCTGTGACAATATATATATATATATATCGTCAAATAGAACGGCCCGGTAAACCGTAGGCAGAGAGGGAGAAGAGGACAACAAACGAGGGGCTGTGACAAACTGTTTCGTCGGAGTTTCACCGACTCATCAGGAGGCTGAACCCTATATATATATATTGTCACAGAACTATTGACTAAGAGCATGAGCATGTGAAGTAGAAGAAGAAATAAGATGAGCAAAGAAAAGAAAAATGAAAGGAAAGACAGGCAAAGAGACAGACAAACCAGAATGACACTTTGTTTCACAGTATTATTATT